TGTGTGTGTGTGTGTGTGTGTTTGTGTATGTTTATATCTTTGTGTGTGTATGTGAGTGCCTGTGTATGGGTGTATGTGTACGTATGTGTATGTATGTATGTGTGTGTGTGTATGCGTGTGTTTGTGTGTATATATCTCTGTTCTCCACCGTGTATTTGTCCGCTGTACCTCCCTATATCTCCGCCCGTCTGTCTTCCTCTCGGTATCTCTCTCCGTTCGTCTGTCTCTCTATCTCCCGTTTTACTTTCAGCTTAAAACAATATATCATCTCCATTTTGCTTCTATAGATCCGCGCTGGGATTAATAAAACACAGATGTTGAACACATCATGCATGATCTCATTTGTGAGCGCTTTTTGTAGATCTATCATGAGTGACGAAAAGCTGGCATTTCTAACGCACATCATTATTAGGCCCAAACACGTCTGGTAATTGCGCTTTTGCTGTTGACAGTTACAACCATGTCTGGGTAATTATAGATCTACATTACATGATTGCAACCCAGTTGTTGTTTTTTGTATTAGTTTTTATTAAGCAGCAACCCTATAATACATGTAAGTAAACTGGTAACTTGTGTATGGTGGGGAAAATGATAGACTTCAAGTATGTAGCCTACCGTTCTGTACTGTAACCTGTTTCATTAAGAAATACATGTAACTGTAACCCTATGTAGGTTCAAATGGTAACTTACGTGACGTGGTGGAAAATTAACAGACTTCAAAAATTTACCTTTCTGTAACCATAGTTTTAAGCAGAAACCGTAGTATATAAGTAAACTGGTAACTTATGTGTGGTGGAAAATTCAATAACAGACTTCAAGATGTACTCAAATCGTACTACCCTGTAACCGTTTTTTCAAAAACATTAAGCGATGACCTTGTATAGACTTCAAACATGCGTTTTTTTGTAAACTCTAGATTTGTTTGGCCAGTGAGTACAGACAAGACAAATAGGTAGGCACACTGACGAAAATAGTGGGTGGTTGGCGGGTGCTCTGGCGTGGTTTGCTTCTTCTTTCCTATCAAACATCTATCGTCTTTATAAATATCCCATCCTTCCTTTTTGTGTTTGTTCCTCTCTTGTAACACCTCTAATCTTCGGCACTTATATTATGACCTTATTGTGTTGCAAGTGCCTTGAAACACTTACTAAAACTAACCAACCAACATACACACAGTACAGACAAGACAAATATGTAGAGCACACTGACGAACATACACACAGTACAGACAGACAGACCAGCAAACTTGCTTATAGACAGGCAGGGATTAAAGAGTAAACTCAGACAGATGGAAGTACTGTAGGTTAATCGGAAAACATTGATTTATGGCCCAGGCGTTGATAAATGGATCGGCACAAATACAGTACAGTTCTCAGATTAGGCTTTCCTCACTAAGCTTTCAGCCTTTCGCCTGGTACACGGGAAATTTTAGACGAGTCAGCAAAATAACTAGTTCAGTTCACGCGATCGGCACAGATATCAGGATATTAGATCTAGTTTCTACTAAACGAAATTGATCACTGGCCGGATTTTGATTCTTCTCAACTCTCACACCGAGATTTTTAATTTTTTTTTCGTGGGGCATTTTTTTTTTGGAAAGTGTTTTACGGCGCTCGTAACTGCATAAGGTCACATGAGCGCACAGGACACATTAAACATATTCAGTTTGTAATAGAAAAATGTGAATTTTACCGAGGCTCGAACCCGGACTTTCTGCTTCGGAGACGAGCACACTTACCTCTCCTCTACCGCACCCTTCTTACTTTCCACGAGTAAAGGAAGTAAATACAGTAACAGAAAGAACGAAAGAAAATCCCTCACAAATCTGCTGTGAGCAAGACTGATTAACCTGCTGGTGTTTTGGTGAGAGAAAGACACGTTCCTCACCCCAGGACCTTCATCGTTCGGAATCCGAGATTAGGATGGGATGTAGATTGAGTTTGTATTGTATCTCTATACCCCCC